TTTTTTTTTTTTTTTTATCTTTTTTCCTTTTTTTAAAGTCTTTTATTAATTTTTTTTTATTTTGAAAAAAAACTTTTCATTTAACTTTAATTTCAAGTTTTTAAAAAAAATTATTTGAACAAAAGTTCAAAATAACTTTATCTCAATAGTTAAATAAGATTTAAGTTATGATACTATCTACATTACGTAAATATGATCTTGAGACTTGTTATTTTGTTGCAAACTCTAAAAGCATGTATAAAGTTCCTATAAATCTATTGAGCCCATATTTGGTATACTTTATTTTTTTCATTTTCATTCTTCTACTCATTTTCAACCACACATTTTTCAATAAAAAAATATTTTTCATCACATCAATAACTTTTCCTTCATTTTTAACAACATATTTTCAATCAATCTACTATTCAATAATACATTTTTTCAAAAAAATTGTGTCCCAAACACACCCTGAGTATGACTTGTCTAGTTGAGAATTAAAGCAATGAAAAATATTTTAATTTTTGCATTTCGAAAACTTGAAAATTGTATAATAACTAATGGTATGAATTATTAAGTAAATGTAGTATTTTATAATTTTAAATGTTTGATATTTATTATTTTAATTATTAAATGATTTTTAAACTGATTGAAAATTTAAAATAATATAAAAATAAGAAACATTTTTTACGCATAGACCTCATCTAAGCTCGCTCTAACTCGTAGAGTTTGAAATTCCAGCTCCATGCCTAATCACACTTTACGCTTCCTAAAACACTGATCAAAATATATGGGTTTCATTTCTTGTTACATGACAATGATATCATTTAAAGATTGTGGTTTGTCCTAAGTCCTAACTATATGTTGATAACTAGAATTCTAGTAACCCTCCCACTATGTCAACAAGTGTGATCACGATCAATATTTTTATATATCTAATTTACTATAAAAGAGATCACCTCTCGTTTCTTTAGAATATCCTTCAAACATGCGAATTTTCAGTTAGAGATTCCTCCTCCTCCTTCTTCAACACGTGTTGGAAAATGCATAAAGGCATATTTCAAACTATGGTGCATGACAGTAATTTGAGTGTTACTTTAGTGTGAAGTTCTTACTCGTTTTGTTGTTTTTTGTACAGATGCAGAGTTTAAGAACACGGGGCTGGAAAGGTCAAAAGGTCTTGCAAAAGATTTGGAGTGGTTTAAATTGCAAGGTTATGCCATCCCACAACCATCTTCTCTTGGCGTTAGCTATGCCCAGTATTTGGAAGAGCTATCCAGAAAGGATCCTCAAGCTTTAATTTGCCACTTCTACACTAGATACTTTGGCCATGCAGCTGGTGGCAGACTGATGGGGACGAAGGTAAAGAATATTTATTTTTGAAAATGAACTTTAATTTATTCGTTTTCTTTGAGCTTAATCGTGTGAACTATATTCCATATTATGTAAAAATTTGTAAAATGACCTAACTTCTTATACTCAAAATTATTGCCTATTTTCCATCAGGTAGCACAAAAGATTCTTAACAACAAAGAGTTGGAATTCTATAAATGGGATGGAGACCTGTCCCAACTGCTGCAAAACGTTCGGGAGAAGCTAAACCGGGTTGCTGAAGTAATTTGTTTATTGCCCCTACTTTTCTGAATTTATTGATTAATCTTTTTAATTATAGACCATTTTCGTAATATAATTTTATGTTATGATATTTGACCTATTATTTAATACTTCGATGTTTGAATTTTGCCAGACGTGGACTAAGGAAGAGAAGAATCATTGCTTGGAAGAAACTGAGAAATCATTCAAGTTTTCTGGGGATATTATGCGTTTGATATTATCATGATGCTCAAAGTTGCAATTTCATCTGTAATCAAGGGCACAAGTTTTAACCATTTTATCTTCAAAATAATAAAACTGTAACCATTATTACTATTTCAAATTGTTTCTCTCATACTTCAAGATTCATGTTTTCTATACATATTGTACTTTGAACATATCTGATGTTGCTACAATCATTTGAAGAGTGCATGTTGTGAAATAAACTTGATTTGAGCCAATTAATATTGTAATTTGAAGATATTTTGTGTTGTTACAATCATTCCAGGAGTGCATTTTGTGAAATGGAAATAAACTTGATGTGGGCCAATTAATTGCTTCTCTTATATTTTGGACTTTCTTAAATATTGTCATTAAGTGAGTCATAAGTCCACTTTTAGAATATTTATGTTCTAAAATTGTCCTTACTCTAGAATAATCCACTATCTAGAACTGTTTTATATTAACGAGTATTTAGTGAATGTCAGTAGTTGGAACATGTATTAATTATGCTTGTTGAGAAATATTTTTAGCTTCTTCCACTTCTCAACTTTTTTTAAAAAAATTACTATCAAAGTTGTCCTTTTCTTGACAAAGGCTTTTAGTAGTCGTAAGATTCGTTAAGAGATGAAAAATGGGATGATTCCTTGATCAATAAAGCCATTGCTTGGGTCACAATAGGAGATCGTAAAGAATGGATACGACAAGTCAAAGGATGAGGCTATTATATCTCAAAGAGTAAAAGAAGGACTCAAGAAATAGAAACAAGAAGGCTCTCTTATCACATCTACCAATTACTTGATGATGATGGATGTCAATGCCATCACCTCCAAAGAAGCATGGAATATGTTTAAAATCTTGTACAAAGGAGTGGAGAAAGTCCAGAATGTTCGTCTCCAAATTTTATAGGTGAGTTCATATCTCTCCAAATAAAAGATTTTGACTTTATTTGCAATTTTTCTAGAGTAATAGCTGTGACTAACCAATTAAAACAATTAGTAAAAGGTTGGATAAGCTTGAATTTTGGAGAGAACTCATTGATATTTAGATCAAAAGTTTGAGTACATAGAAGTACCATTAAAGAAACTAAAGATTTAGCCCATGTATGGCCCCCATTAAGTTACATTGCATTATATTAAATTTTTTTCTATTTTCATTACAACCACACATTCATCAAATAAAATAATATTATACACAAATCTAAAATTTTTCATTACTTTTCCACCACACATTCTCCCATCAACCACTATTCCAAAAATTTTCAACCATAAAAAATGTAAAATAATGAGGGCCAAACAGGGGCTTAAATACCATAACTATTTAGAAACTCATGGGATCTTTTCATGCATATGAAGGAAGACAATAGAAGAAGGAAATTACTTTGGAACAGGTACTTCAAACAAAACTCACATTAAAGGAAAGCAGT